CACACACACACACACACACACACACACACACACACACACACACACACACACACACAGAGAGAGAGAGACAGTCTGTGGAATCAGGAAACATTTAAAAGCTTTTCTCCTGCAGATCTGGGAAAAAACAGTTTTTCTGCTGAGTCATTCAGTGTGTGAACATGTTTTTATCTGGCCATGACTTAGAGACGTCCTGTTGGTACATCATTGGTTAGGTTTATAATAACGGGTCAGGGTTGGTCTGTAGAAATGACCAGTAAATGAATGGAAGTGAATAAAAAAGTCCCCATGAGTACAGAAGAACAAACACGTGTGTGTCAGAGGTCAGGACAGGTGATTGGTTCATAGTTCAGCTCTGCAGGAAAATGTCAAAGAAAACACCTGACATGTTGAATTTGTTGGTAAGCAAAGACATCGAGAGAAAGTTTTTTTTTCTGTTTAAACCGTTCAAACAGCTGAGTTTTATTATAAAAGTTCTATTATAAAAATACTAATATAATACTAGTAGTACTAGTACAACTTGGTTACTTTTCCTAACGGCTGATCTGAAAACCAGCGAGTGTCTTCCTGCTGCAGTCGTTTTCTTCTGCTTTGTTTTCATGGTTTATTTCCAGACATTGAACATTATAAAGACTTGAAGACGTGCTGTAAACGGTCCAGATTCAGGCCTGCGGTTGGTTGTGGTGCAGGTTTGTAAACGGTCCAGATTCAGGCCTGCGGTTGGTTGTGGTGCAGGTTTTAAACACTGAGAGCTGATCACAGTCAGTGTTTTTTACCTCACAGTTTGAGCTGAAGACGTTTGTTTCTGAATCAGAGAAGAAGAAAAAAAAACAAGACGTGAGGGGGAGGAGGGCAGCGCCTCGCCTCTGGGCTCTTTCACCGTCCTCCATCTTAACCCCGGCGTGCACGCTGGAGTGCACGTTGGTTGTGTGTTTAAAAGCCTGTTGGTTGTGTGTTTAAAAGCCTGTTGGTTGTGTGTTTAAAAGCCTGTTGGTTGTGTGTTTAAAAGCCTGTTGGTTGTGTTGGGTCAGGGTTAAACTCTGCAGTGAGTGTGAGTCTGTGTGAGCGCTGGGACAAATGCATTTTCTCAGAATAGAAAGACAGAAACATGGACAGAGTGCAGACGATGGACAGATGAGAGGATGAAGAGGTTTCTCTCTCTGCACAGATTGTGCAACACATGAAACAAAAGTGTGTTAGTTAGAGACCAACTAAAACACAGCAGCTGATTCAGTTGCAACGACTCACTGCAGATCTGTAACAAACTGCTGTAAACGTCTGGAAATGTCAGCCAGCAGCAGCACAACAAATTATTAAAGACAAAATGATGCTGGACTGATTTTAATGACTCATAAATTTTAAAAAGTAGAACTAATCCTGAGATTTACAAGCAGCGCAGCGTTTCAGCTCTCATCTTCAGTTTAGTTCCAGCTCATTAAACAACAGTCGTTCCACCTTAAGATCCTGCTGCATCAAACAGACTCTCTGAGACACCATACCACCTTAAATGACAGAACTACACAATCCAACAAGATCTTTGGGAAAGCACACACCTGGAATCCAGCTGGGATTAGTCCTGGATGAAGTTAGACATTTAATTAGATAAATGTCGTCTTTAAGGAGTCATGAAAGTGTGAACTCTGTGACCTGGTCCACTCAGGGCTCTGCAGAGCTGGAGGTCCAAACAGGACCAGCGTTACCTCTGCATGTCTGAGCTGCTTTTTGTTGTTACTAATTTCATCTGAGCTCAGTGTTTCTGATTGAGTCGTTTTAATAATCTGATCCTAATCCAGCCTCCATGGTGTCAGGGACAGAACGAGCTGTGGGAAGAAAACAGATGAAGAAGAACAAACGTGTTTCTGCTGCTCCAAAACAAAAACACTTTAAGTTTTTACAGAGTCCAAACTGTTTATACTAAAAAGGTCCCCCCCCCCCCCAAATAATCCCAAAACCAAGTGAAGCAGAGCTGAAGTCAACCAGCAGCTGTTCTTCTGCAGGTTTCCTCTGACTGATCTTCACTCTGTTCTCTTTCCTCTGCAGGAAGTTGGCAAAGAAAAGAAAGGAAACTCTGAGCTCCAGACAGGAAATGACTCTGATGGTGAACAACACCCAACACACAACTGTGGTGGACACACACACACTGAACAGCCGCAGTGAGTACACACTTATTATACACTGATTAAATATTTACTATACACTAACTGCACACTTATTACACACTAATTACATACTTATACACTAATTACATACTTATACACTAATTACATACTTATACACTAATTACACACTAATTACATACTTATACACTTATTACACACTAATTACATACTTATACACTAATTACACACTAATTACATACTTATACACTAATTACATACTTATACACTTATTACACAC